GGCAGGCGCCTGTAGTCCCAGCTACCTGGAAGGCTGGGGCAAGAGAATCACTTAAGCCCAAGAGTTTGAGGTTGCTGTAAGCTGTGACGCCACAGCACTCTACCAAGGGTGACGTAGTGAAACACAGTCTCAAAAAAAAAAAAAAAAAAGTGAAAATTGTACTATATGATTTCTAAAGTTTCTTCCCACTTTGAATTTATATAGTTCTCAAAACAAAAACAAATAAGTAATAACCCTGGCTTATCACGTATAGCTACATACCCTGCTTCAGTGCCCCTTCACTAGTCTCCCTTTCCTACTAAATCTGAACCACATGAAATTTACCAGTATTTCACCATTTTAAACCTAAACAGCCACTTCATAGAATTCATCCTAATATTTTTCTCCACTTATCCTTTATAATAGAAACTTTTCATGTAACACAACCCAAGCTAACCTATTCCCTTCTGGAAAACCCTAGTGAAATATCAATTCTTTGTTCCAGCTTAGAAGAACATTATATACACAAGAAAAAGAAATGGGCCCATTCCAGAAGACCAAGGATATCTTTTTTTTTTTTTTTAAGGTTGTATCTACACTTACGAGTAAGGCAGAGATGTTAAGTAAGGTTACTGTTTAAAAATTTTTCCATACCAGCATTCACAGTAATTAACAGCATAAATTGTTAAGTTCACAAAGTATGTGCCCTAAACCAAAGTGAAGGGCAGCTTATGTTTTAAACCTAGTAACAGACAGTGAACTGTTGGAAAACCCAAGCTTCAAAATAATTTCTAGAGATTTTTGTAAAAAAAACCTCAGCTTCACAGACATTATCTCATCACACTGTTCCCTTCACAGTATATTTGTAATAATTGTAGTCATTTTGGTTACGATCTCCCTTTCTCCTTACTTGAATGTAACTAAACTCCTGCACAACAAGGACCTCTTTGCTGCTGTACTGCCAGGCCCTATGGCAGTGGGTTCAGCCCGTGTCCAAGGCACCCTGGTTTGCTGTGAGAGGATCTTAGTTGGGCCACGAACATTTTTAAAGATCATTAATTAAATTATTTTTGAACGAAGTTCAAAGGATATTTTTTTTTACTCTGCTTTTTGATGAACATAATTTAAGTGTGCCACAGAAATTTAACTATAGGTGCAAGTGTGCCATGAGATAAAACAGGTCGGAAGAGAGTATCCAACACATAGGTGCTGTTCAAACATCTGATGAACATGCATAGAAAAAAAGAGAAGACCAGAAGGCAATGCTGACCTCGACTATGGTGATGACTTGTGTGATTTTTTAGGCACATTTTTCTGTTTACCAGGTTTTCTGTTCATCGTGTATATTACTTTTACACTAAAAGCAAAAGTTTTAAAATAATCATTTCAAATTATTATTTTCCATTTTGTTGAAATGCTTTTAATAATTTACATAACTTAA